TGATTGGAAGATCACATACTGCTGTTCCTGATCCAGCTTTTGGTGAAACGGTAAAACTGAACCAGTTAACAAGATTTCAGCTGCTTCAACAATTGCAGCAAAGTTTTTGGAAGCAATGGTCTACTTCCTACCTTTCCAGCCTTCAAAGCAGATATAAGGGCAAACAAAAGGTACCCAATTTGGAATGTGGTACATTGGTGACCATCAGAAATGAGAATGTTCCTCCATGTCAATGGATTTTAGGACGAATCAGTGAAGTTCACCCAGGTCCAGACGGCGTAGTACGAGTCGTTACAGTGAAGACGTCGAAAGGAACTTTAAAAAGAGCTGTAACTAAAATATGTCCTCTACCAGTATTATTGAACCAACCGTTCAAGGCGGGGAATATGGTGAAAACTTGAATCAACGTGGCAACGTGGTGTTCCGGCCGACCATGCGGAGTCGGCTTTAACAAGTCGCCCTCTCTCTCTTAGCTAGCGACCATCGAATCAGCCAGTCGAAATTATACAGTCCATTTCATTTCAGTTTAATTAATGTTTCAAATGTTAAATTTATTATAGTTCAGTAAATAAAAAGTGTATAACGTATGCAATTCATTTCTACATTATCTTTGTTTTGTTTTCATTAAATAATGTGAAACAAAAGTAAGTTCTAAGTGAAGTGAAAATGTTTCCAACAGGGAAAGGACCAGGATCAAGTGGTTTTCAGTATGCTACAGTGTTCTGCATTCCAATTGTAATGCAGATCGAGCCTACAAACCTAATGCATCCGTATTACCAAGTAAGTCAAATAAATACTCAAGTTCCACCATCGTGCTCTAAAATCAACCAACAATAAACCAAATGATACCTTTTTGATAATTATCAAGAACAATTTCAGGTACAGCTAGTAGTTGCCCAGCAAACCAACTTTTTTTTATTCTACATCAAACTTGCAAGCCAAATAGACTTTAACAACAACCCAGAAGCACAGAGTAAAGATGATTTGATGCCAGATGAATGACATGAAGACTCTCAAAATAATAAACGCACATGACAAACGATAACAAAAAGAAATAGGTTTTAAACTTAAAATAGGTTTCAGTCACTTCCACGGGAAAACTCCGTAAATGATACGAATAATAATCCACTAATCTCAAAACCCCCTCCTATTTTTAATAAACGGAGTGAATGACTACAGCAAAATGATAAATAATTTAGCACAAGCACTAGAAAAAGCGACTTACTTTACTAAAGCCTTAAATAGCAACACAATAAAAATCTTCCCAAAGACACCTAAATCCTACAGAAAACTAATACATCACGTACGAGAGAAAAACATCGTCCACCATACATATCAACCTAAGGAAGAGAGAGCCTGCAGAAAAGTTATTCGAGACTTACATCATTCGTTTCCGATAGCTGAAATAAAAGCGGAAATCAAGAAAAAGGGTCATAAGGTAAGGAACATTACAAACAGACACATATTGAGCCGTGAACCATTGCCTTTATTTTTTGTGGACCTCTAGCTTCGACGAACAACAAAGAAATATTCGAACGACAGTATATACAACATTGTAAATAAGGGTAGAACAGCCGAGAATTAAAAGAAATATACCATATTGTACACGATTTTAAGCACCGAGAATTAAAGGAAATATATCATAATGTACACGATATTAAGAATATGGTAACATTAAAACTTACTGTGCAAAACCATATAATTGCGTAAAATGCTCTGGATCACACAACACAAAAGACTACAAGAAACCAAAAAACACGCCAGCAACTTGCACTCACTATACATTCTAATTATAGAGGACTGTTTATCGTGAACTAATAATGCCAGATACAAGCACAAATCAATACAAAACACCAATCAAAATCCTGTCCACGGTCCTAATGTAAATATACTTATCATACTCATAATTTCAATAGAATCAGTTATAGAGATGCTGCCATGGAAATCATAAATGAAAATAACAAAAATAACAACAATAAATTAGCAGTAAAATAGCATAATTTTAACAATGTTAACTACATCATTAACAAAATAGCTTTTAAGTCATTACTAATTGCGTCCTGGAATGTTAATGGCATTTCAAACCATATACTAGAGTTAAAACTATTTTTAAAAATAAATAATATAGACATTCTGCTAATATCTAAAATCCATGTCACACAAAGAACGATTATTAAGATACCTTACTATATTATGTATAATGCAAAGCTTCCAGACAGGAGCACATGCAGAAACAAGAAACAAAGACCTCTCAGTGTAGCATCAATCTACAGCCTACCTAGACATACTATTTCAAACAAAAAGTATCATGATTCCATACAAACTCTTAGGATTCAAATTCATAGTAGCATGAGACTGGAATGACAAACACACCACATGGGGTTCCAGATTAATTACGCCTAACGGTCGAGCCTTAATGAATACTATTCAACAAAATAACTTAAGATACTTATCAACGGAAGAACCCATATACTGGCCTACGGATCCCAACCAAATCCCAGATTTGGTAGATTTTGCTGTAAGAAAAGGGATAGCTGACATCCATAGTGCAAGAGAGTCAAACTTGGATTTAACATTAGACCACAGCACAATAATAATAACTTTAAGCACACACATAATATGTAGAACACCACCCCCAAACTGACAACTGAAGAAACAAAGTGGGATGTTTTCCAAAATTCTGTAAATACAAAGATTAGATATTAGGATAACAGAAAACCACCATGTACAGAAAGCAGTAGACCGTTTAATAACACTTTTACAAACAGCAGATGCAATACAAGAAAACCATAATATTCCCTCCATATCAGAGAACTTATACGAAAAAGAAGAGAAAAAAAAAGAGCTCTGTGCATATGTCTTAGACTGCCTCAGTCTTAGACTAAATAGAGCAACTACATGATAAAAAAAGACTTCTACCAGTTTCGAACCTCTCATATGAAGACCACTTTATAGAAAGCTGCAAAAAAATTTAAACGACCGACAATAACAAATTCACTTTTAAAAAAACAGATATGACCTAGGCCTGCACAACCGCAGAAACCACAGTATTCGCAAAGCATCTTGCAACTGTATTCTCAACACCAGATACTAATTAAGATGAAAATGATTTCGAAACCTAGTAAGCCCACAACACAAGTAAATTAATATCGCCCTATAAACTTACTCCCAATATGTCGAGAGTATTAGAAAGCCTACTATTACATAAAATCAAGTAAGCATACACGAAACTATACCACAACACCAATTCGAATTTAGACGTGAACACTAAACCATTCAATAGTTTCACAAATAGTAAATATCATTAAAACAATTCTCGAAGAGAAAAAGTTTTGCGCTGGAGCTTTTCTGGATATACAACAGGCATTTGATAGAGTATAACATAAAGTTCTCCTCTAGGAACTGAAATTACACCTGATAGACCAACTATACTTTATTCTAAAATCATATCTTACTGACCATTACTTCCAAGTCAAAATTGAAGACAGCTACTCAAGTTACCACATCATACAATCTGGCGTACCTCAGTGTAGCGTTCTCGGCCCATTTCTGTATCTGATATTTATAGCAGACGTTCCAACCAGCAATTATAATACCTTCTTAGGTACTTTTGCCAATGACACGGGCGGGAATCTTGGCAGTTGATATCGACCCTAATGCAGTATCATAAAAAGTATAAAATCATTTAGACCAATTACAAAACGGGCTTAAGCGATGGAAGATCAATGTTAATTCCAGCAAATCAGTACAAATTACTTTTACAACAACAAAATCTGCATGTCTACAAGTTTTTAATAATAATACCCCGATTTCCATAAAACCAGTTATGTTACTTTGATAACACGGACGGTATCAAATTAGTCATAACTTTCTCTTACTCGGTCGGCAAGTACCCCAAAGATGATTTGTAAAATTCGTCAAAGTCATTAATAAAGAATTATCCCCTAATGAGACAAAGTATTCTATGAATATAATAGTATGGATAAATCCAAAATTAGTACTACTATTACAAGAGAAAGAGTACAAAAGTTGTTACGTGAAAAAATTAAAGTATATCCGTACTGCACTGGTTTATGGTCTTGACTCGAACCTGTATTTGAAGATTTGAATTTGTAAAGAGCTGCCAATTGCAAACAAATAGACTTTAAAGCAATTTGGAAAAAACCAATAAAGTAGTAATAAAAAGGATAGAACATCGCTGCTATTCCTACTTCTTTGGTAAAATCAAAAAAATTAGTGAACTATTTAAAAAAATCTTTAATTAATGTCCAAAGCAGCTGACAACTTTATGATGTCAGCTAACACAAGATTTATTGTTGTTGTTTTTTTTTCTTTTATTGGGTTTTTCTTGTTGTTCCCTTTTTGGTGGGACTACCCAATTGTCACCACGCGTGGTGTTCACGACAAGTGCTCACTTAGTAGTTATGTAACTAGCTATAATCCCTTCATATTTAACAGCGATGTAGCCTGCTACAATCCTAGCTAATACCACTTCAGCCAACATCGATGCTGCTACCATTACCGTCAACATCAATACTGCTGCTACTATCGCCTACATTTATCTCCATGTGAAAAATACATCCAGCCTCTCCTAAGAATGTGGCTGTATCTCTGTATTAGCCATACATATATGTTTACATTTATTTTAGTAACTTAGGAAAGATTTGCTCACTAATTTTTTTGTTTTCTTTATATTTAATAAATATGACTCTTTGGTATAATCTTTTATTTCTCCCTGCTTAATTTCTCATTGTACAATTTGCATTAAGATAAGACGTACCTCCACATTAGACACAGCTATTCGAAGCCCTAACAATAAAATTGGCATCTTAAGTGTCTCTTCATAGTTGTACGACTGAGGTACCGTTTTATTGTTATACAATTGACACCCAATGATTGTTGCTTTATTGTTACAAAACTAAAGAATATAAATGATCGATAGAAGGAAAAACAAAAAACTTCCTCTAAGAGTAACCCACTAAACTGTTTTATGAACTTACTTTTCCAACTACTTGTGCTGACGGAATTAACTCTCTGTGAACCAAATGATCCATGGAAGGAGGCGAACTTAAACCTACTTTTCTACCCACCCTTTTGGACGCTTCTTCAAATATAAGACCTAAATTTGCTGTTGGATTCTTGAAGGCACTTTGTAACTCTCTTAAATGCGCTCCTGAGTATTGAATTCCGGTTAGGGCTACAAACAAACGTAAAATGTCATTGGTTCCTTCAAATATTCTGAAAATTCTTAAATCTCTTAAAATCCTTTCCAAACCAGTCTCTTTCATAAAGCCCATACCGCCTAAAATTTGTATAGCTTCGTCACAGACATACCACGCGGCTTCAGAAGCAAAACACTAAAAATAAACAAAAAAATTCATCTAGTGCAACTTATTAAAATATTAACGACTAAGAAATCATTAAAAATGTTGTTACCTTGGATATAGCAGCTTCTAACTGATAATCTGTGCATCCACTATCCATATTTCCAGATATCATATACGCCATAGACTCAGTCACGTAATGATACATAGCCATACGAGCTAGCTTCTCCTGTATACCTCCATAACTCTCTAATTTTTGACCGAATTGTTTTCGTTGAGTTGCAAATTCAACAGCTTTCTTTATACATGTCCTCATTGTACCGGAAAGCGCGGCGGCCATACCAAAACGTCCGTTGTTTAAAATATTCATTGCTACCTTAAAACCATTTCCTAGACCACCCAAAAGATTTTCGACGGGAATTTTCGTGTTTTCAAAATATAACTAAAAATATACAGACAATTACATTTCTAAAACATAACATTTTCTAAGCTGTAAACTACATAAGCCCCAGGAATGTACTTAACATCTCTGACAAAATAATAAGACTTGTGAATATATTTTTGACACGTCTGAATACGCAAAAACATGTTACGACTGAAAGAAGACTCTGAGAAGAACAACATGTAATTTTTTAAATGATTAAAATATTTCACATAGTCCAAGAAATTCTGAAATAGAACAAGAATTGATGCTAAGGGTGATGAATTAAAATTGAATAATAATTTTAAAATGACATAACCAATAACAAAAATTTTGGTTAGGTGTACGTTGTTCAGAATTTGTATAAAAACCTTTTTTGAGAACGATTTCCGGAGTGGAAACATTAGTGTGAAACATTAGTGTTAAATATTACAGTAAATTCAACTTCAAGTTACGGACAGAATCAACACAAGTCACCGCGTGATATTCGAGTCTACACGTGACGAACGCCTTGCTATTGGCCAAATTGTCGAACGATCGTAATTCAGGTAGTTAGCCCTAACAGGTGCGGACTTCGTTTTTCCGCTCCGTCCTCTGTCGAATGCGAAATGGCCCAGTAATTTTTATGCAAAGCTGTTTGTTGGTTTGTTTATTTGTTAATCGTTAGCTCGTGTGTGGATAGTGCAAAGCATTTTTAAGAACATTTAATTATAGTCGATACAAACTTTTTCCCCACTTTAAAATAATTCCTGTAAGTATAATAAAGCATTTATAATAGCCATAAGATAAGATATAATATCGACCTGCACTGATATGTTTAATGGATAAAAATTATTTAGTATGTTAAAAATTATGAAAAACAAGAGGTGCCCGATATAATTTTGTCCTGACTATAATTAATTTAAACTCTCTGCGGCACGAGATTTTATAAATTTTCTACAATGGACCCTTGGGGCATAGAAAGATTCACTTGCACACGTAAAAAGTAAAATGACCTCACTTTTCAAGAAACAACTGATAACCATTCGCGTTTGGCCAATAACTATACCCTGGGAATTTTACCAATTAAAGATAACACTTAATAGGGACAGAGGGAATAAGTAATACAAACCACTTGCGTAGGTGTAACTTGATAAAAATAGATTAATAACTGATTCATTTTGTGGACTACTGTACATGTAGCAAAAATTTGGTGGTTCAAATTTCAATCCGATGTGCCGAAGAGAGTTAAAAAATACCTTTTTTTTATATATTTAAAAAAAAAATTAACCGGGGCAGATATTGTTTTAGATTTTTTGGATCATTCTATTTTGTAATTTTTCTTAAATTAATCGTGTTCGAGTTATAAATAATTTAAAACTGGAAGACAGGGAAGAATTGACAGGCGAACAAGAATTGACAGACGAAAAAGAATTGACAGACGAAGAACGATAGATGACGATTTTCAAGGATAAAAATCATTAGTAAAAAATATCACATTTACCAAAGCGGTGTAGGTAAACCTTATATCGGATCCTCTACTATAAAAGTAAATTTGAAAATGCCCATTTTGTTATTTTAGTTGAGAAAAGTATAATAAATCCATTTATTTTACATGTAGCAAAAATTTGGTGGTTCAAATTTCAATCCGATGTGCCGAAGAGAGTTAAAAAATACCTTTTTTTTATATATTTAAAAAAAAAATTAACCGGGGCAGATATTGTTTTAGATTTTTTGGATCATTCTATTTTGTAATTTTTCTTAAATTAATCGTGTTCGAGTTATAAATAATTTAAAACTGGAAGACAGGGAAGAATTGACAGGCGAACAAGAATTGACAGACGAAAAAGAATTGACAGACGAAGAACGATAGATGACGATTTTCAAGGATAAAAATCATTAGTAAAAAATATCACATTTACCAAAGCGGTGTAGGTAAACCTTATATCGGATCCTCTACTATAAAAGTAAATTTGAAAATGCCCATTTTGTTATTTTAGTTGAGAAAAGTATAATAAATCCATTTATTTAATAAATCTGATACGGAGTCGGCAAATGAAAATGAGGAACTGTTAACGCTAAGTCCTCCTAGGAAAAGAGCTAAGAAAAATCACGTAAATATAAGAATAAAAAAAATAATGGTTAATACATACAAATGTGAATTACAAGATAATCCTACTTTAGCGTTCCAAACACTGGAAAAAATGATATAATTGTAATGGAGAATGCCCCTTACCATTCCAGAAAATTAGAAAAAATTCCCATTATGGCTACAAAAAAGGCAGATATTCAAAATTGGCTTCGCTCAAAAGACATTCCCTTTGAAGAAACGATGTTAAAGGTGCAACTTTTAGAAATCGTTAAACAACATAAAGGCGAATATAATAAGTACATAGTAGATGAACTGGCAAGAAGCACAAATAGAATAGTTTTAAGGTTGCCACCGTATTGTATGTAGCATGGCATAACACAATATTTAAATTTGCTGACATTAAAAATTTATTTCATGAAGCTGTGTCTACTGTAACCATGGAAAAATGGAAAAACTGCGTCAAACATGTAAAAGAAGAAGTGGAGCCAAAAATGTGGGAGATGGACTATTTAATTGAGGCACAAATTGAGCCTATCATTATCAGCTTTAATGATGACAACAGTACATCAGATTCTGAAAGTTAAGATAAAATACGGTAATTTTATAAACTTTTTTTTGTATAATTTATTTTGTTGTTAATAACTCTCGACTTTGTAAATCATTTTTATATTTAAAAAATTGGTGTACATCTGTACCTCTCAGACGTCTACAAATTATACAAGGTTTTGTATTGCAGTTTTAATTTGCTAGTCCGGCCCTGAACAAACGCGTGTTTCCAGCGTGCATTTGTTTCCATCGTGCGTAGCTTGAAGTTGAATGTACTGTAGTTATTTAAAAATATGACCAATAATTGTGGCTTAATCCTATAAAAACATAATATTAAAACATAGGGTTTTGTATTTAATTTCTTAACGAAAATTATTACATAAATACATAATTTTATCTTGTATACAGGGTATTTCATTGAAAATAAAGATGATGGACTATGCTAGACTAGCGTGAATCAGCCTGTACCTACAATTAAATTTACGTTTAAAAAGCGCACATTTGAATTTAAAAGTTGACGGGTTCTATGGTTTTTTATAATTTTTTAAAATAAGGACAAAAACAATTTTATTCCGTAAGTGGTTTTCACATTGTACATTTTCTCTCTACTCTTTCTCACTTCTCGACTTCCAACTTAATCATCACTAAAAATTATTATTTTAAATAAAAGCAAGAAACTTACAGCTGTCGTATTTGAGCACTTAATTCCGAGTTTTTTCTCTGGTGGCCCACTTGTGACTCCTCCAAATGCTCTTTCAACAATAAATGCACTAACTTTATCATCAACTTTTCCTGTTTTTGGATTAGTAACCTTCGTCCTAGCAAATACTGTCATAACCTCAGCAGTTCCTCCATTACTGATCCAAATTTTGGAACCATTAAGGATATAGTGCTTTCCATCTGGAGATAATTCTGCTCTTGATCTAAAATAAAATATAAATATGGTTTCAAAAACACTCTTCTCCCGAACAACGAAATATCAAAAAAGTTGATAATAAAGAAAGGGAGATTAAGACCTCGGAAGCTCTGAAAAAGACATCAAAGAGGATGTCGATAATCGACCGGTTCAATCCGGAAGACTGTTGAGTGTAATGTTAATTCTTGTAATAGTATTAATCTTAGCTCTAGATTTTTTCGAAAAAGTGATAAGAGGCAAAAAAGTTTTAAAAACAATGTGTTAAACTAAAGATGCCACAAAATTTATTTGATTTGAACGTACTCAAAAGTTGGGGAGGATTTAGGGCTGCACACCCCCCTTAAAATTTTTCTGTGCGCTTAGATTGTTGTTTCTTTTGTATGAAAAATGCTTTCAGAACAAGAAAATAACGTGTTCATTTTTATTACAAAATGTCAAGTAGTTTAGGAGATAATGCAAAAAAAAATTATTTTGTAATTTCAAAGGGCTGTAACTTTTTTGTGTACACTTTTGTACTAAGGTAAGCTGGATTTAATCAATTTATTTATGTCTCCGGAGTGCATAATTTAATTTATGACATACCTTTTTGGAACACCCTGTATAATAAAGACGGGTACTTACTGTATAGATGCAGCATCTGAACCTGAACTTGGCTCAGTTAAACAAAAAGCAGCAACTTTACCACTAGAACACATGGTTAAATACTTGGCCTTTTGTTGCTCATTTCCAAAAAGAAGAATACCTTTAAAACCAATGGACTGGTGGGCGCCCAAAGTAATACCAACGCCTAAAATAAATAAAATATGTGATATGTATTATAAGTAAATAAAACACCACGTGTTCATTTACAAAAAAAGCAAGTATTGTCAATGTAGCTAGAGATCTAATCAATATTCCAATATACCAATCGATACATACCTAAATCATTTGCTCCTACAATTTCAACAAGCCTTGCATATTGTGTATTAGACAATTCTGAGCCTCCTAATTCCTGGGGAATTTGTAAAGCAAATGCACCAAGCTCCCACAGCCCTTTAAGAGTATTCTCTTCAACTTTTTCGAGTTCATCATTTTTGGTAGGATTGTTAACTTTCTACAAATTAAAACACATATATACATCAAATATTAAGAATCAAACTATGATGCCATATTGACAGCTGGTGCCACATTTGGGAATAATGGAGAAAAAACTTTTTTTTATTTTCAGTCGAATATTTAATAATTGTCTAGGCAACTCTATGGATCTGATCAGCACTAGTCTTCCAAATCTGAATTAATGACCTGCTATCAACTGTTTTTTTTTTAATAATGAATACCAAATTTCCCAAGCTTTGACAAGTTCTTATCTCCCACAAGGTGCCTCCCAACGCAAATATGTTAACATCATATGGGTATATGGGAACATAGGACAAGTATGAATAAAGTAATAAGGTATAACCATAAATATATATAAAAAACGTCGGAGGATCAAGAAGTCATTGTACATATGACTGCTTACATAGCAGTCATATGTACAATCTGCGTTAGATATCCTGTTAAATTTTACCATACCGACCATAAACTTTTACCTACACTGTATATGTAACTTATTAAACTGTTTATTCGGGCTGTTGGGCCGTTGTCTTCTGTTGAGATTAGTTCTCGACGTTTCGCCAACACTAGGGGTTGGCATCTTCTGGAGATGTTGATGCTTCGCTTGTAAGCAGAAACTGACGACGCGTTGTACTACGGAGGCAATATTTATAATTCCCACTCGCCTCCCCTCTCTACGAGAACGAATACATGACACCAGACGAAATTTGGCGAAGGTTGACAAGGAGCTTCTAGATTTGTTTTACGTTTTGAGCAGCAGGTTGAAATATGAAGATTGGAATAAAATTGAATCCATTTGTTACAGAAAAATGGAAAATGAACTAGAAAGGAACACTGAACGCCAGAAAAACAAATACGAACGCTTAACCAAACATAAGGAGGTAGAATCAAAACAAAACACAGAAAGAACAGTGGTCAATCTTTCAGATAAAGTTTTAACTTCAGCTGAAACATCATTGCTAGCCAAAGGGGGAAATTTTGCGATTGTGCCTAAAGTTATACCCAAAGAAGACATCATCGCTAATATAGAGTCTGCGATCCGCAACTTACCAATCGAAGCAGCTGAAGAAATAAGGACAGAATCAGCAAGAATTTTGCATAAAGCTAAGACACCGAAAAATAATTTGAGCCACCAAGAAATACGTGCCATAAAATCGTTAAACGCAGACAAAGATGTTGTAATTTTACCAGCAGACAAGGGAAACGCCACGATCGTAATGAAGACAGCCGACTACAAAACGAAAATACAAAATCTTCTAGATCCTGCGGTTTATAAGAAACTTAAAAAAGATCCCACAGCAGTCACCCTACGGAAAATCAACAGACTTATTAAATCTTCGTCCATACCAGAGGAGATAAAGCCAAGAATATGCAACAGCGAAGCAGTCCCACCACGCTTGTATGGCTTGCCGAAAATACACAAAGACGATGTACCTCTCCGCCCTATTGTGAACTCCATAGGATCTCCGTCTTACAGCCTTGCAAAACATCTGGCCGATATTTTACAACCACATATAGGAAAAAACGATGCCTTTGTAAAAGACTCCGCCCATTTTATTGAGAAGATCAAAGGAATAACTTTGCAGGAATCTGACATTCTTGTTAGTTTTGATGTGGTTTCCCTATTCACAAGAGTCCCCCTAGAAGACGTTCTGAATTTAATTGAGGGACTAGTTTCCAAGGATATGGTGGAATTATACCGTATTTGCCTAACTACCACATACTTTTCATGGGAAGACCAAATTTATGAACAGATGGATGGAGTAGCAATGGGAAGCCCACTAAGCCCGGTCGTAGCCAACCTTTTCATGGAGCATTTAGAGAAGAAGATAATGGACTCAGCATACAAGCCTAGGGTATGGTTCAGATACGTTGATGACACCTTTGTGATTTGGGGTCACGGAGCAGAAAAACTAAACGATTTCCTGGCTTATATAAATACACTACATCCAAATATTCAATTTACGATGGAAACAGAAAAAAGCTCAACAACTAGCGTTCCTGGATGTATTAGTAAATCGAAAGGAAGGTCACTTAGGACATAAAGTGTATCGAAAACCTACACACACAGACAGATACCTAAACAGGAACTCAAATCATCATCCTAGCCAAAAACAAGGTATCATCAAAACTTTGGCAGAGAGGGCGAAGAGAATTTGTGAACCACAACATCTCCAAAGTGAACTTCTTTATATTGAAAAAGCGCTCACCTCTAATGGGTACACCAGAAGAGAAATACACAAGGCGATGAACAACGTATCTAGAAGAAGGGACGAAGAAACAGAATGTAAAGGGAAAGCGTTCTTGCCCTATATATCGGGGTAACGGACAGAATTGGGCGAATACTCAAGAAAGCCAACATAAAGACCATCTTCAGACCTACAAAGAAGATCAAGGATTGTTTAAGATCGGTAAAAGACAAACGCGACCCATTAGCAACGGCCGGAGTATACCGAATACCATGCACATGTGGAATGGTATATGTGGGAACCACAAAAAGACACACCAACACCAGGATAAATGAACATAAAAGCCATTGTCGTTTAGGACATATCGACAAATCTGCCGTTGCCGAACACGCTTTGGGAAGCGGAGAACATCGAATACTATTTGAAGAAACACAGATGCTGGACAAAACTTCACAGTACTACCCACGGTTATATCGGGAAGCGGTGGAAATATACAAGCACCCAAACAATTTCAATAGGATAGAAGAAGGACTAAAAATCAACAAAACATGGATACCAGTATTAAAATCCACAAACGCCCTTCCCGCCAAACACGGAGATAGAAAAGCTACTATAAACAACGACACGCCCCCTCAAGCCGAAACCAGTGGAGGGGAGGCGAGTGGGAATTATAAATATTGCCTCCGTAGTACAACGCGTCGTCAGTTTCTGCTTACAAGCGAAGCATCAACATCTCCAGAAGATGCCAACCCCTAGTGTTGGCGAAACGTCGAGAACTAATCTCAACAGAAGACAACGGCCCAACAGCCCGAATAAACAGTTTAATAAGTTAGACGATGGCCGTGAAAGCCTAACGCAATTTAACTGTATATGTAGTTGGGGTAAGTACCAGCATAGGAGGCAGGGAGAAATACTTATGAGTCTAGTGATATTTTTGAAACATTTAGAATATTATATTATAAAGTAGGAGGGATTAATCAGGGCACCAGAATTTAATGATTAGAAGTAGTTTTCATATATTTATATTATGAATAATCTCTGGGGTAAAAACCGGAATTAAAATCTAGATATATTGAGAGAGACGGACAAATGGTAATTTGACTGAATATGTTAACTCATGATGTCGATATATTACCGGTATATCTAAGGCCAGTAGAAACTTTTTGAATTTAGAAAGGGTTGTTGACATCACGGAGCAGAGAGGTGGAGAGTCCATTGTAATAATTGGAAATGTAAATGGAAGAATGGGGGAAGAGTCTAATCTGGATATAGGGATAGAAGGGGGATGGTGTATTGGAACTGATAAGAACTTCTAAGGATCAAATATCCAATGCTCATTCAAGGACTATAGAGCTTTGCGAGGAAAATGATATGGTGACTTCCGCGGTCCAGACACTCCCGGCAGTGGCGTAACCGAGGGGGGGTTACCCAGAAACCCTCCAGTAGTTGTAACCCCCCCCCCCCCAGGAGATCATACCGGTTCTTCTTTAGAGATGATACGAAATACTAGGAACATGTATTTGGTAATAGGTATGAGCATATAACGTAACGTAACAGTCCATCTAGACGGACACCGAATGAATCAAGCCTGGTAGCTCTAACTGTTACTGTACACAACAAAATAACGTCGATACTCGATACCTGCGCTGCGCTTTGATATCGATATTTTGGTATTAGTATTAGGAATACTTGTATACCGATACGGTATTTGTATTAGGAATACTTGTAATAGTAATAGTTCTAGAATGTAGGTACAGAGGATTGGCGGTTCGGACGGCGGGATTATTACGGTAGTGTATGCAAGATGTGAAATTAAACGTATTAAATCTGTCATAATATTGGTCCCTTGTTTTTACTATATTATTCTAGAAGTATTTTAATTTGATTTTGTTTGAGTGTAACTCATATTTTCCATGAAACTAAAATAAAAGAGTATATAAATTTTCTGTGCAAATAACTTTTTAGTTTATTGAAAATTTAAAAAAGCAAATAAACATTACATTTGATATGGGATAATAAGACCCATATAACATTGTAAGCAATACTTATTGATGCCTTTTGTTTATTTTTACGGGTGGCATAGAGTCCCATTTATATTTTGTATTATAAATAGAATAACTATTTTGTTTATGGTAAAAAATATTTATTTAAATAAAAATGTAATTCTTAAAATATACATATTATTAACTAAAATAAACGAGATAAGTGTACCTAACACAAAAATAAAAAAAAAACAAATGAGATCGTTTAAAAAATAATACACGAGTAGTTAACAAAATACAAAATATAATTTATATGTAAATCATTAGAAAAAATTTGAATTAACACTTAAAAATAATAATTGCTCTAATTTATTGCCTTTCAAGCGATTTCGTTTTTCTGTTAACAATTGCCCTCCTTTAGAAAAAATCCTTTCGCAAGGGACAGAAGTTGCAACAGCGCAACATTTTTGTTTCACTAGTTTTGCCAAATTAGGAAACATATATGAGTTTTCTCGCCACCATATCAAGGGATCCTGTTGCCTTTCCAAAATCCAAAACTCCTTCGATATATCTTTGTAGTGCCATGAGTGCCCTTGAAGTTGCATTGATTGTTTTTTTTTTGTTTGCCACTTACCAGACTATCAAAAGAAGTGATAGTTCCGGTTCGGAGGTGGTGATTGTAGAGGGTATTGCTGGTTGAGTTTCCTGTTCTGAATATGGTTTTTCTTTTGAAAGTATTGCACTTAGTGACACAATATTGCTTTCGCAACATTTTCAGCTGCATCTGCATTTTTAAAAGGATACCCTTTAAAGCGCGGATCTAAAAACGT